TTGAAAAGACAAAGATATAATGTGAGTTATCTAGATATATGTACGAGGATGAGATGTGTTGGTGTGTTATAAGATTATTTTTAGTTGCCTGGAATGAATACACACTTGCGACATTCTCTCTCTCTCGACCTAGAAGACTAAGATATGACTAATCTAAATCTTGACTAACCCAACCCCTCCTCTCTCCCCTCTTATCTGATCAATGACTATAGATAGATAGACTATTAGATATAGATATCTGATCTGTTGATGAGTAGATATGAAGGGTTTCAAGATATCTATAGATTACTATGATTGCATTACTATCGAACCGTCGAAACGCACGACGAGACCTGCATCCTCCGCTCTCTCTCCTCGTCTCTCTCCTGCTTCTCCTACCCATCTGCTATCGTCTCCTCCTCTCTCTCTTTTCCGCCTTTTTTCATTGCATCAGCAATATTATAAATACACCCGATACATATATCAGATCACATTATTATTTAGAACCATTTATCTCGCGCGTTTCCCTTAAACCTCCCCTTACCCCCCCACCCACCCCCAACACCCCACCCCCACCGCCCAACCCCACTCCCATCCCTTCCCCACCAATTAATTACAGCGTATCTCCTCGCCACGAAAGGACACTCCACACTCCTGTCCAATTACGGGAACGAGGCATTTTCGCCCCAACGGCCCAACGGAACGCTTACGTAACGAGCGCTCCGCCGACTAATTAGAGCATCGTTAATTGACTCGCTAAGTAAGAGGAAGCTCATTACCGCACGCGTATGCATCACCTCCTCAATAAACTTCTTCATCAACCGCTACACCTTTAATGAATATCGAGGCACATCAGCCACTGCATTACTTATCCATTTCGCATCATAATTACAGCCTGCTTATCAACATGAGTGAGTATAAATGGAAAGAAAAATCAAAACGATTAGAAAAAAAAATTAGAAAAAAACATAAATATATAACAAATAAGATTAGAAAGAATTAAAAAAGATTAAAAAAACAAAAACAACGATTATTAAAGAAAAACAAAAACGTGAAAAACAAAAAAGTATTAAAAAGATTAAAAAAAAATAAACAAAAGATTAGAAAAAAAAGATAAAAAATAAAAATTAACAAAAAGAGAAAACAAGATAAAATATAATACTTTAAACGTCAACATTTTAATGCAGTTGAATAATTGTAAACAAAAATATAAAATGCACATCCGGTTGTATCAATATGCTAATGCAGGATTGCAGATTCGATCTCAAATTCCGGCGCTCGGAAGTCGAAAATCCTCCATAAGGAAAGAGAATGAGCTTGTCATAATTATATCAATTACAAATTTAAAATAATTGCTCTCATTACTGTCATCGCTATATATCATTTTCTGGCGATTTTTATTAAGCGAATTATATCCGATTTTTTCCCCTGCCTTTTAGCAAAATTTCACCGGGATTACAAACTGAGCTGCGGCGCTGCATCCGACACTAAAAAATCCCCGCTTTCTCACCCTCAATTCACGCTGAATCGCACGTCCAATTATCATTCCAGAACGTTAGAATATAAACATCGAATCAGCCGGGGTATGTCATCAACAATCAGCAACCAATCTATCTATATATATCTATTACATGACCAACCATCTATAATTCTCTCACCACACACCACAACAACTCTATATCTATATATCTATCCACTACCACAACCAGCCGCATCTTATCCCACCCACTACCACAAACCACCCTCGCCGGGCAAAATGTTTTTTTTTTTTTTTCAAAAAACCCGATTATACTCTACTACCACAAGCATTCTTCTAATCACCCATCCACTATCTCTTACAACCATCTCTCTACTATCTCATACCACCACAACCACTCATCCGATCCCACACCCAACCACACATAACACCAATAGAGATGTTCTACGCGCGACCGTAGCAATAACAATATGACCATATTAACAATGCGAAACTGACAAGGCTGATGAAGACGAGGCGAGATATGTATCTGACTAATGGCCGAGGCGATCAGAACGGACGTGAATGAAGGTACGTAAGAGAGACGGAGAGACAGCAGTGAGGATGATGGAGAGATAGG